GCTAACCGGATGATCCTGAAGCAACATCCAGGCAGAGGTACACAAGCAGGAATGTGGGCACTGTTAGGCTCAGTCCATGCTAGCGAGTGGCAGGCCTGCACCACTTTATCAAGGGCCCGCACACTCATAGTTTACCACTATGCTGTGATCTCTCTTGTGGTTTTTATGATCTCTGAGCTTTGATCTTCTCTCTCCCAAAACAGGGAGCTCAAGCATGTCTGTGAGAGTGCTCCAAGTTTCTCCAAACACCTACACTATCTCTACAGATATTCTACTTCTCAAAACAGTCAGAGGATAAACAGCAGTATGCATAATATATGGGGTTTCCCACACTGTTCTTCTCCAGGCCTTGGCATTCCCATCTGCAAGGTCACTTGAGAAAATCTACCATCCTCCTCCCCATTCTTCTGCTTTTAACCCTTTGCTCCCAACAGTGTCTGAAGCAGATGACCTTCCCACAAAGTGAGTCTCTTGCCAGAAGCATACAGCATTACTTTGGGACTACAAGCCAGGACCCCTCGAGCTAACCCAGTCAGTGTCCCCATCCACAACTCCTGAAGTCTGGTAGTAAATGCTCTGTGGGAGTGGCTGTACCAATGGAAAAAGACCAATCGGCAGCACAGAGGGAAACTCATCTGGGTTGCTGAATTGTGGCAAGACATCGCTGCTCGGGTAGAGAAGTTGGCTGTAAAAGTCAACCATGTAGATGCACACATACCCAAGAGTTGGGCTACTGAAGAACATCACAACAACGGACAGGTGGATCGGGTTGCCAAGATTAAAGTGTGTCAGGTGGATCTGTACTAGCAACACAAGGGAGAGTTATTTCTGGCTCAATGGGCCCATAACGCCTCAGGTCATCAGGGAAGAGATACAATATACAGATGGGCTTGTGATCGAGGGGTGGACTTAACCATGGACACTGTCTCCCAGGTTAACCATAACTGTGAAACACATGCTGCAATCAAGCAGGCCAAGCAGGTAAAGACCCTGTGGTATGGGGGGCGATAGTCAAAATATAAATATGGGGAGGCCCAGAAGATTGATTACATCACACTCCTGCAAACCTGCCAAGATAAGTGCTATGTGCTTACAATGGTAGAAACAACCACTGGATTGCTGGAGATGTACCCTCTGCCTCATGCCACTGCTCAGAACACCATCTTGGGCCTTGAAAACAAGTTCTGTGGCAGCATGGCACCCCAGAATGAATTGAGTCAGACGACAGGACTCATTTCAAAAATAGCATCATAGAAACCTGGGCCAGAGCGTATACTAGTGGGTATATCATATTTCCTATCATGCACCAGCCTCTGGGAAAAAGAAATAATACAATGGACTGTTAAAAACCACATTGAAAGCAGTGGGTTGTGGGACCTTCAAACATTGGAATTTACATTTAGCAAAGGCCACCTGGGTAGTTAACACTAGAGACTCTACCAATTGAACTGGGCCTGCCCAATCAAAACCTCCATGTACTGTAGAAAGGGATAAAGTCCCTGTGGTGCATATGAGGAATGTGTTAGGGAAGACAGTTTGGATTAGTCCTGCCTCAAGCAAAGGCAAACACCTCCGTGGGATTGTTTTTGCTCAGGGGCCTGGTGCATTTGGTGGGTAATGCAGAGGGACAGGGAACCACAATCTGTACTTCCAGGGGATTTGATTTTTGGGTGAGAAGAGTCTGTAATGTTGAATTGTATGATACTGGTTGCTGAATGACACTGCCACTCTATGTCATAACTGCCATGGACAATGAGTATGGACTGCTCCAGATACACCAGTCATGAGCTCCTGATGCAGCTTGCAACCAGCCAACAGCACACCAGCCCTCCTGCCCTGGAAGACATCTAGGATGGATAGAATCCATAGTTATGGATTAAATGAACTCAACAGACATCTTGGATGGATGGTCATTGACTATGGAAATGATACCTGTGCTTGTGTGTGTATATATATATGTATATAATTAGAAGGTGTAGGACCTGGGCATGATGTAGATAGTATAGAATAAGGGGTGGATAACATCCTGGTTCTGGCCAGTGACTTGCGGAAACAAACCCCAAAACTCACAAAGAGTATTGAAGTAGGTATGTTTATTCACAGTGCCAGGTGCAAGGGGGATAATTCCTCCAATCATGCACACCCATTGCCTTTGTTCAGCAATTTTTATGCAGTATAATGTTACATATGCATTAGCTGTGTCAGTAAATTCCAGAAAAGTGGGAGGGGAAATCATTAACATACACCACTCCTATAACTCCGCCTTGGAACGCCTCCTTGGGGTTTTCTTTCGGAGGTCTTTTGGATGAAGTAAGAAGTCTTCCTCAGCTTGAACGTTTTACCTTTGCTAAGAATTGCTGAGTTGGCACTGTCCAATTAACTCAGAACTGGCATCTTCTTCAGGAGCTTCTCTATCAACTTTCAAGGTCTCTTTCCCATGAGCTTCAAAGCCCCTTATCTAAACTCTAAGGTTTTCTGTTCCTGGTAAAGTCTTCATTATAAAATTAACTATATCCCGCCTGTGAGTCAGTATAAGCAAGCAAGGCCCTATCCTAATTCTATCTAAAAATTAGCTAGTAAGCAACTAAGGCTACAATTTTGTATTATTGCTTTATATTTTGATCACCTTTTATCATCAGGACAGGGTTAATTTTTGCAGTATCAGAGAGGGAGGTTATTCTATACCACCTCACATCATTGCCAGGGGCAGGGGAAAGGGACTCTCTCGCTTCCAAGGAAAAGGGGTCCCTCCCGGTTGAGAAAACATGGAGGATAGAATTGTTTCTTATACCATTTTTTAAAAATATTTTTGCTGTTACCATTCATTTTCTTATCTCATTGCCATTTCCAGTAAATTGTTCTTATCTCAACCTGTGATCTTCACCTTTTGTGCCTCCAATTCTCAACTCCATCCCCCTGCAGTGGGAAGGGGGAGGGGAAGGGGGAGCAAGAGACCGGCATGTGGTTTGGGAGAGTCGGTAGGGACACTGAACTGGGGAGTACCATTTCTAAACCACAACAAATGCCTTGCTTAGGGAGGTTAAATTCAGTAGAGGCAGACTCCTCAGGGCTGGGAGAGCCCTACAGCTGCTTTTCTTCAGTCCCACCTTACCACCTGGGCTTTAAGAAAAGGAGGGCGGAACAGAAGAGGTAGGGACTAAGTATTAGCTGGCTCCTTGGAAGAGAGCACCAGGTCATTAAATTATTCATAAGCATCTAGGAGTGCCTGCCAGCAGTAGATGGTTGAGAACAACCATCAGATACATTTGATTCCTCCTGATATGAGCAGGGCTGGGGCTGTGAGTACAGTACCACTTGGCTCCAACAATGTTTCTGGCCCCAAGTAAATGCCATCCAGGTGGGGATGTGAGTGCCCTATGTAATAAACTATATTTTAAGGGGATTCTTTTTTACTAAGCTTAGTAAAACTTCAGGACATTGATGTGTGATTTCCGTGTGTATTTCCCACATATCTGTTAACTGCTTCTAACAAGCTGCTGTTTGTTCCCGAGGCTGATAAGGAAGGGGGGAGGAAAGTCTGGCAATGTAATTAACTACACTAGCTGGAGACACTGAGAAGCTTCCTCTAAACAAGGAGTCAAAGTGATTTATATAGACGATAAGACTGGAAGGGGAGGAAAAATACCTATTAAAGGCGCATGCTCCAAGCCGGGTTCATCTTGCGGACATCGAGGAAGACTAAAAATCTTCATCACAGAGACCCCGGCCCACAAAGAAACCCCCAGACCACGGACGCCGGTAACACAGCCCAGGAACATGCATGGGGAAAACTTTGCAACTGAGCATGTGCAAAAAGCACATGCCCCGGACTATGTATGGATAAGAACCTATGTACTGAGCATGTCTGGACGGAAACCCGGAGGGTTCAAAAGGGGAAGTTTGAGAGCTTGGGGCGGGCGGCGGCGAGCTGTGAAAGAACTTTCTTTTGTTCTAAACAGCCCTCCCCTCTCCTCTCCCCCCTCCTCTCCCTCCCTCCCTCCCTCCTCCCTCCCTCCCTCTCTCCCCTCCCTCCCTCCCTCCCCCTCCCTCCCGGCGCGTGCCGATTGTCTATCTACCGCTTATTAATAAATTTGCTTGCTATTGTAAATTGGCTTCTTCAATTCCTTTAGGGCATTGCTGGTAACCTATAACACCCTAAAAGACCGATAAGTGGTTGTGGAGGGGTGGCTGGTGGTGGAAGAGCTGCGGGATGGTTGTTTTAGGTGGTTCAAGGAGAACTAGAGCTTCAAACCCCGGATGGGGCAGGGTCTGTGCTGGAATGACTGGCTGGGAACATGATGGGTCCTGCGGTGGGGCCTGGTGGGGCAGTCTAGTCCTGCCTAAAAAATCAATCAGGGAAAAGAAAAACCTGCCAAAAAAAAAAAAAAAAATCCGGGAAAGGAGTCCTGCAGGTACCTTTGGGTGGAGAGGAAGGGCTGGAGTACCCCCCCCGCCACCACCCTTTTATTCGGGGGAAATTAAGCCTCTGGAGCATGTCCCCCCAAAGCCTCGCCGAGGCCGCCAAGAGACCGCCTCTGACGAGGGCAAACCCGCCTCACTGCCCGCGCCCACTCGCGCCCGTTAGCTGAGCCCAGGCCTGCTCAGCGCACTCCAGCTGCTCTCCAAGCACCCGCCTCCCGCCCCTCCTGCTTGGCTGCAACCCTACTCGCGCATTTCCCTTTGCTCAGGCACTAGCCAATCGCGAGGCGAGGATATCTCGGATAGCTTTCGTGGTGGGACTTTCCGCTTGGATTTTCGCGTTGGTGGATTTTTGCCATTGGCTGCTCGACCCGTCTTGCCCTGTAGAACAGCCACGGCAAGGAAGGAGCTGCTATTGGCTGACGGGTGTTGCGCTTGGCTGGCGATGATTGGGAAGAGATAGGAGAGGGGCGGGACAGAGGAGGGAGACCGTGAGTTCTTTTTTTTCCTCGTCCCCTCGCTTCTGCCTCTTCGATTGGCTGAGATGCTGGTCGAACGAAATTTCCGATTGGTCAGCGCACGCTGTTGTTAGGCAGGTGAGGCAGGGCGAGGTGGAGTCTCTTTTTCCGGTTCTGAGGTTCAGTCAGCGTGAGGCTCCTTGTCGTGCCACCGCGGCGAGTCTGTCTGAGACCTGTTGTCGACCACCCTGAGGAGCTGTCGCCGGCCGCCTCGCCTCTTTTCCTCTAAGCGCCATGGCCTCAGGATCCGAGTAAGTGTGGGCCGTCCGCCGGCAGGCCACGGCATAGGCCTGGCTGGCGTTGGGCCCGACTCGGCCTAGATCTCCTTACCTCGCCTCCTTGCGGCGCTGCCCAGGCTGGACCCGACGTCGGGCTCGATCCTCCCCCCGATCCCTCTGTGTCATTCAGGTTCTGAGGAGGTAGGGGTGGGGCCGGGAGGGGGATGAGCCGCTCTTCGCGTTCGCCCAGCCAGGCTCTTGTCCGCAGTGGGGCCCTGGGCGCCGCCGCTCCCCGTTCCCCCCCACCTTCCTCCCGCTTGCCGGGCCTCCGCGGGAAGTGTCAAGTAATAAGGGGGGGCGGGGGCAGGAGGCAGGGCTGGCCGTGGCCGTCTCGCCTGGGCTAGGCCTTAGCCAGGGAAGGCTTTGTCTTCCAGGCCCCAGAGCGCCGGGGCAAGCGACGGAGCGACTGGCGAGGCGGGGAGAGGCATGTCCCTGTCTCCTCCCCGCAGGTCCGCAGCGGCCCTCGGGTCGGGGCTGGAAGAGAGGTGGTATTAGAAGAGAAAGATATGTTGTACCGGGCTGGCCCCTGTGGCAGCTGAGGCAATCAGCTATATTTTTGTCTCCAGTGTCTTGCCTCACTCTGTTTTTAATTCCAGGATGAGGGTCATATTTTGTTCTCCTCAAAAATCAGTCGAGTAATACTGGCCTTTCAGCTCCCAGGCCACGTGTGCAAGTCACTTTATAGTCCCTTGAGAGGAGTGAAAATAAAACCTAAAGCTAATTTCCAAATCCAGGAATACTTCAAGTGACTTGTTAGCTTTGCCAGAGGCTCTTTCAGTCCCTTTAGTGTCTGTGGTTTATCTTCTCCTTTTCTTTTGCAACTTCTGCAATTTAGACCCACTTGATCTTACTAAGTCAGTTCCAGCAAGGTGTGCCAAGAATTTAGTGTCTGCAGTAGAGCTTGTGGTGGAAGTGACGGTCTCAAAGACATGTTTTGAGTCTAAATGAGGTGAACAGTGTTTTTAAAACGACATTTATACTTTTGCAAAGTTGTTCTCACCACATAGGAATCCACAAAAGTTACTCTGCAACTGGAAAACAGTTACTTCTTAGTTACAATTGTTGGATCTATGCTGTTGGCGGCCATCTTGTTGAACTGAGCTTTAGCAGAGTATAGCATTGCAAGATCTAATAGAGTGTTTCTGAATAGATTCTCGGTTTTGTGTGTATACCTGTCTAAAACAGTATTTGAGAACTTGGCATCTTTAGCATGGGTATGAACTCACTGCTTGGTTGTCCTGTGCTGTTCCAGTAAGTGGCTGCAGTCATCAGATATTTCACTCATTTGCTTCAAGGGAATTTTTTTTTTTTTTAATACTTACCCAGAGAAAGTAGTTCAGACTGTAATAGGGATGTTCAGGGTGGTAAAAAAACACTGACAGGTTTTATCTAGGAAGTGAGTTCATGAGGGTATTGATAAAAAGGTACACCAGCATACAGAAGGCATGACTGTTTTCACTTCTGTTACTAAAGCTGGAATAATTTTGAGTTGGTGACTTTTCATTGTACATTTACCATAGACTTAAAGGAACAGGTCAGTTCCCTACTTTATGTGGAGCTTTGAAGGTTGATAGTAATTTTCAGGAGAATCAGTAATCAGTAATTACTTTCTGATCTTGCTCTTCATACTGTCTATCACAATGCATAGCCTCTGGGCATTATCACATGGTGAACAAGGAGAGCTCTGACACAGAAAAGTGATGAAGTGATGTAATCGTAGAATCACAGAATGGTATGGGTTGGAAGGGACCTCAATGATCATCTCGTTCCAACCTCCCTGCCATGGGCAGGGACACCTTCCGTTAGACCAGATTGCTCCAAGCCCCATCCAGCCTGGTCTTTTAACACTTCCAGGGCAGGAGGTTGGAACGAGATGATCTTTGAGGTCCCTTCCAACCCAAACTATTCTGTGAACCCCCAGGAGAGATGCAATGATAGCAAATGATGATAATAATATTCTACATTGCTATTGGAAGATGGGTAGTGCTTGTCTATTAAAGTCCTTACTCTCGTCTGTAGGAGAAACAACATCACTCTCGTGTGTAGCTGTCGTAATTTCTTAACACCTTTGTTTCTTTGTCTGCAGAACTGTTAGGTCATATAATGAATTATCTGTCACACATCTTATGGTATAGTAGGCTAGAGCTGTAGTGACTCCTATGAAGGTATTATGGAAAGGCGCTTATATCCTGACAAAAAAGGAAACCCCGTTTTTCATGAGCACTTGAATATTTCTACTGGCTTGCTAGGTTTAACTAATAGGCTTTGACAGGCTAAACTCTTACAACTCTTCCTGTCAGGGGAGCTGCAGCATTGTCGTTTAATTCCCCTATTTATCTGGAATTTGACACCAAATGGACTTGAACTTTTGTTTCTGTTGCAGTGGTTACATGTCATTTCAGACGAGTCTGACAAATTCTTTTAGGCAAAACATCTTAGAGTCAGCAGCATCTCACTGACCACTTCTTTTTATAGATTGCTTCATAGCTATTTCCATTTGACTAGTAAAGTAGTTATATTTAGTGACAGAAAGCATTCTGCTTTGAACTCCTGAAACTGGTGCCTAGGAATAATATTATCTTTTCTCTTACTGTTGTAGTTTAAGCTCAGCTGGAGATGAAGTACCATGCATCTACTCACTCAACCCTGCCCCTCTCTCTCCACCCCCACCCTGGTAGAATGGGGAGGAGAATCAAAGTAAAACTTGTATGTTTAAATAAGAACAGTTTAATAATTGAAAATAAAGTAAAATACAGTAATTATGGTAAATGCTAATAATAATGATAATAAAAAGGGGAAAACAAGTGATGCACAATGCAATTGCTCACCACCTGCTGACTGATGCCAGACCCCCCTTCCCGAACCCAGATTGGCCCCTCTTCTTGGTAACTCTCCCCAGTTTATATACTGGGCATGACTTTCTATGTTGTGGAATATCCCTTTGGCCAGTTTGGGTCACCTGTCCCAGCTACACTCCCTTCCAGTTTCTTTTGTGTACCTCTTCACTGGCAGAGCATGAGACAAGAAGAAAAGTCCTTGACTTAGGATAAACATGACTTAGCAAAAAACCAAAATATCAGTGTGTTATCAACACCATTCTCATACTGAATCCAAAACGCAGCACTGTAACAGCTACTGAGAAGAAATTAACTCTATCCCAGCTGAAACCAGGACACTTACAAACAAGTATAGTTTCTAAATGACAAGACAACAAAGAAACCTGTAGAAAATGGAGAATAAAATGGGTGGTGGGGGTGAAAGGGGGGAATAATATCACTTGGACTCATTAACTTCTGTTTTCTTTGCTAGTTCTAAAGCAGATGACTTATCGACTGCTATTCTGAAGCAGAAGAACAGGCCCAATCGGTTAATTGTTGATGAAGCCATCAATGAAGACAACAGTGTTGTGTCACTGTCCCAGGTGCGTCACCTATAAAAGCAAAGCATTTAATCTGGTAATTTGCAATCTGTTGCTGTCTATTAACTTGAAATGTAACTTTGCAACATGAATCTAAGTATTTGTGTCAGAAGCTGCAGCAGTTACAAATGAGGGGGGTGGGCTAAATAAATAATCATATATAATAATGATTAATGAATGATAAAGTACATTTTGATTCTAACTTTGAGGATTCAGTGGAGCTCATGCCCTTAGTCTGGCTTTAGGATTAGCTCTTGACTACTGTAGTGGAAACCCCTGTCTTTGTAGATCTAGTATATTGCTTTAAAGATGAAATTCTCCAAAGTCAAGTAACTTTCCTTCAAATACTTGAATTCATAGAATCATTAAGGTTTAAAAGACCTCCAAGATCATCGAGTCCAACCTTTGACCAAACCACCACCATGTCAACTAAACCATAGCACTAAGTGTCATGTCCAGGGGTGGTGACTCCACCACTTCCCTGGGCAGTCTGTTCCAATGTTTAACAAACCTTTCTGTGAAGAAATTCTTCCTGATGTCCAACCTGAACCTCCCCTGGTGCATCTTGAGGCCATTTCCTCTTGTCCTGTCACTAGTTGCCTGGGAGAAGAGACCAACCCCCACCCCACTACAACCTCCTTTCAGATAGTTGTAGAGAGAGATAAAGTCTCCCCTGAGTGTCCTCTTCTCCAGGCTAAACAACCCCAGCTCCCTCAGCCACTCCTCACATGACTTGCTCTCTAGACCTGTCACCAGCTTTGTTGCCTTTCTCTGGACACACTTCAGCACCTCAGTGTCCTTCTTGTGAGGGGCCCAAAACTGGACATAGCACTTGAGGTGTGGCCTCACCAGTGCTGAGTACGGAGGAACAATCACTGCCCTGGTCCTGCTGGCCACACTTTCTGATACAAGCCAGGATGCCATTGGCCTTCTTGGCCACCTGGGCACACTGCTGGCTCATGTTTAGCTGCTGTTGACCAGCACCCCCAGGTCCTTTTCCACTGGGCAGCTTTCCAGCCACTCTTCCCCAAACCTGTGGCATTGCATAGGGTTGTTGTGACCCAAGGGCAGAACCTGGCACTTGGCCACCTCATATAATTGGCCTCGGCCCATCAATTCAGCCTGTCCAGATCCCTCTGCAGAGCCTTCCTACCCTGGACCTGATCCCCTGGTTGTCCCGCATCTGCTGTGTGACCACACTCAAGATGATCTGTTCCATAACCTTCCCTGGCATTGAGGTCAGGCTGACAGGCCTGTAGTTCCCCACATCCTACTTCTGACCCTTCTTGTAGATGAGCATCCCATTGGCTAACCTCCAGTCCTTTGGGACCTCCCTGGTTAACCAGGATTTCTGATAAATGATGGAGCACAGCTTGATGAGCTCTTCCACCAGCTCCATTAGTACCCTTGGGTGGAGCCCATCTGGCCCCATAGACCTGTGAGGGTCTAAGTGGCTCAGCAGGTCACTAACTGCTTCCTCCAATTGTTTTGTCAAAAGCTTGTTCTAATGCTGTTATTGTTTACAGGCAAAAATGGATGAATTGCAGCTGTTCAGAGGAGACACTGTCCTGCTAAAAGGGAAGAAGAGGAGAGAAGCAGTCTGCATTGTTCTGTCAGATGATACGTGCTCAGATGAGAAGATTCGCATGAATAGGGTTGTTCGCAATAACTTGAGAGTGCGCCTAGGTGATGTGATCAGGTGAGGACTAGTTTGCCAACTGTTGTGTATCCCTGGGTTGCCTAAATAATTTGTGCGCTGGCTTTGATTTGATTAGGTCTGTAGCAGAGACAGGGTCTGCAGGAAGTATTCTTGCATCTTCCAGAGGAGATCACAGAAATGTTTTCAAGCATGTGTCTTACATCAGGGATCTCAGTTTATTTTTGCATGTGTTTCTGGCTGTATGCATATTCAGATTAATACTAAAAATTATGCTAAAGATTCTTGAAGTCTCTTCAGGACCTTCACAAGCCTGGATCCTGTTGTTACATTAAATAGCTCAATTTACCCCACTGTTGTCATAGTATTCTTCCCAAATTTACATTGTCAGGTGAATTCACAATTTTTTTCCCATCTAAATTTTTAGTGTCCGCAAAGTTAACTGTGAAAAGTAGTAAACAACACTGTAATTGATCTTAGAGTATGGTTAGCTCAAGCACTGAGCTACCCTATAACAAACAGAAGTTAAAACTTGAAGCAGTCAAATAGCAAGATTAAAAATCCCTGAAGATTGTTTATATTCCAATGTTTGTTATAAAATAATTTTAAAATTAGGAATACTTTAAGTGTTGCAGGAATTTTGTACAACACTTGCAGAAGGTAGTGGGAAAGCATTGAACTATACATTTTGGCTTACAGGAGGCAGGTTCCAGTCTATGATGGAGAGAAAAAATGTGTCAGCATTTCTTAAACATAAAAATGCTAATTTGCAGGTTTAAATATGTGAGAGCTGACAGCTCTTTCTCCTGAGCATTTTTCTAATCTGGAATATTGTGCATGTTCTGGGAAAATTGGAACCTGGTTTCTGATACTAGACTTCCTGAGGTTATATCTGGAATAGTCTTTAAATACAAAATTTGTTTCATATGAACTGTAGAGGAGAGGAACAAGTCTGTTCCACCCATCTCTCTACCACTAGAAAATGCAAATTTTAAACATGACTGTAGTTGGAACAGAACGGTGCTTTGAGCTACTCTGTGGATTTAAAATAAAGGTGAATCCTTACTTTAACCCTATATAAGGTTACTGTTGGAGTAATTTCTAGTGTGATGGTTCAACCTGTGCTATCCCCTTCTCTACCGGGACTGGGTGGTAGTGGTTCTCAGCCTTCCAAATGTGTTACTGATTTTGTTGTCTTTGTTGCAAAGGTCAGAGAATTTTCACATCTCTTACCTTCAAAGTTTTTCTTGCTGATCTTTAAGTATTTATTGTGTTAATTTCTGTGGCCTGGTTTCTGCCAAAATCCAGATTCATGCACTAATTGCTTCCTGCTTGTAGTCTGTCAGCTGTTTTCCTTCTATGGGGCAGTTTGTCTTTACCTTTTTGCTATATCCTCACTGTAAAGCCTGTGGTTAAAGAATCTCTTCATATTCTCTAACAAACTAGCACATGAAAAGTTGCATGCTCAGCTGCAGTTCCATATAGGCTTTTTTTAGCTGGCAAAGCTCGTTTGAGCTTTTTGCGTCTGGCACAGCTTGATACTCTTGAGGTGTCACTACAGTAGGCTGTTGGCCTACACTGTAAAATAATATCTGAGATATTTATTTAAAAGGGGGAAGGGGCCTTCAGACTTTAACCTAAATGTCAGTCTCCACAAAGGGGGATTGACAGACACCTGGCTATCCCTGGTTGGTACTGAGAACCTTTGCTCAGAATGAGGTTTATCAGCAACAGGAGCTCTATTCTCTGTACTAAATTATGAGCAAGAGAGGAAGGAACAAAGATTTATTCCCAGCTCCCTTTCCCTTACAGTTAGTTCAGCAGTGGCTCATAGAATCATAGAATGGTTTGGGTTGGAAGGGACCTCAAAGATGATCTAATTTTAACCTCCCTGCCATAGGCAGGGACACCTTCCACTAGATCAGGCTACTCAGAGTCCCATCATCTTCTCTGGGCAATCTGTGCCAGTGTCTCACCACCCTCATAGTAAAGAATTTCTTCCTATTATCTGATCTAAATCAGTACTCTTTCAGTTTGAAGCCATTCCTCTTTGTCCTGTCACTGTGTTCCCTTGTAAGAAGCCCTTCCAGCCTTTCCTGTAGGTTCCCTTCAGGTACTGGAAGGTGCTATAAGGTTTACCCCGAGCCCTCTCTTCTCCAGGCTGAACAACACCAACTCTCTCATCCTGTTTTCATAGGAGAGGTGTTCCAGCCCTCTGAGCATCTTTGTGGCCTCCTCTGGGCTTGCTCCAACAGGTCCATGACCTCTTTATGTTGGGGCCCCCAGAGATGACTGCAGCACTCCAGGTGGGGTCTCACAAGAGCAGAGTAGAGGGGCAGAATCCCCTTCCTCGACCTGCTGGCCATGCTGCTTCGGATGCAGCCCAGGCTTTCTGGACTGCAAGAGCACATTGCCAGCTCATGTCAAGCTTCTCGTCCACCCACACCCCCAAGTCCTCCTCAGGGCTGCTCTCAGTCCATTCTCTGCCCAGCCTGTACTTGTGCTTGGGATTGCCCTGACCCAGGTGCAGGAGCATGTGTTGGAACAAAAGTTAGCTCATGACTCTCACAGGTCTTTAGGCTGCATTAGTAACTTATGAATGTATCTTGGGGATAGCAAAGGGGGGGCTACAGAGGAGCAGGGGGTAGTATGAAACCCCCCCATCAGTTTTGGATAGGGCTGAGAGGAATGAATGAAAAGCATGTGTTGTGAAGACTAGCTCTCTGATGGACATGATTTTTGCCTTGTCATCATTCTTACACATGTGAGAAGTCTCACCAGGGCTTTGGATGGTCCTTTTTTGCATTTGTACTGGCCTAGGAAGGGACATCATTGCCTTTTCCAGACTTGGGTATAAGTCCAGCATGATGTGGTTAACTGGAGTTTTCTTCTGTTTCAGCATCCAGCCTTGCCCAGATGTGAAATATGGCAAACGTATCCATGTGCTGCCAATTGATGACACAGTAGAAGGGATCACAGGGAACCTGTTTGAGGTTTATCTCAAGCCATACTTCCTGGAAGCTTACAGACCCATCAGGAAAGGTAATAGCACCTCTTATTGAAGTCCTGATGGCAGTGAGTGTGAACTAGTCCTGATACTGAATAAAAAGAATTTCTGGAAGCTTGCACAGATCTCCATGGAGCATTAGACTGACAACTGTAGAGTGCAATTTTGTTGTTGCTGTTTTAATTTTTTTCTAAACTTCAGAAGAAAGAGTGATATCTGTTGCTGGCTGGCAGAGCAGCTTCGTAGTTCTCTGTCATGGTTTAATCCCAGCCAGCAACTAAGTACCATGCAGCTACTCACTCACACATCCTCCCCTCTTCCCAGTAGGGAGGAGGATCGGAAAAGAAGTAAAACTCATGGGCTGAGATAAGAACAGTTTAATAATTGAAACAAAATATAATATTAATTATAATAATAATTGGAGAGAGAGAGAGGGAGGAATAAAAGCCAAGAGAAACAAGTGATGCACAATAAAATTGCTCGCTACCTGTTGACCAATGCCCAGCCCATCCCCAAGCAGCAATATGTGGCTCCTGGCCAACTCCCCCCAGTTTATATACTGAGCATGATGTTCTATAGTGTGGAATATCCCTTTGGCCAGTTCGGGTGAGCTGTCCCAGCTGTGCTCCCTCCCAGCTTCTTGTGCAGCTCCTCACTGGCAGAAACATGAGACACTGAAAAGCCCTTGACTCAGGGTAAGCACTGCTCAGCAACAACCAAAGCATCAGTGTGCTACCAGCATTATTCTCATACAGAATCCAAAACACAGCACTGTACCAGCTACTGAGAAGAAATTAACTCTATCCCAGATGAAACCAGGACATTCTCTTGTGTTTTTGCTATGTGGGATGGGAGAACATCAGAAAAGGCTCAGGTAGAACTCAGTTTAATGAGATTTTACTCCTGAGTTTCTACTACTTGATGGGATTGGGGAGTTGCCCACATATTAATCAATTGATTGGATATACTAGCCAGCACCCTGACTAAATGCACTTTTTCAAGGTATTAATTACTGAGAAAGTACATAAAAAACAAATATACTTTTAGAGTTGTGCTAGTAGCACTTATGCTGGAACAAATAGGTCCAAATACAATATATACACAAGTTGAATTTATCCATCTTCTGTAGCCCAGTTTAGCTAGGAGTCATAGTGCAGTATCATATATTCTACTTCTGGAGATAATCAGTTATAACTTGTAACAACTAGTTATAATAACTTCAAAATGAATTTTGATTAAGTCAAGGCTTTTTGCCTTTTTAAAAAATGTTAAATTGAAACTGAATGGAAAAGAAACATGATTCCTTGCCTTTGTGTTTTGTATTTAAGCAGAGTATTATTTTTTATTGTTTGCTGTTTTTGTTTGCTGTTTGTTTCTGGATGAAATTTGATGGTGCTCAGGTGGTCACAGTACATGCAGCTCTTAAATTTAAAATGCAGGGCAGTGTTAAAAATGCCAGCAGTGTATACCTGCATAACCCACTTCCTTGTCCTCTGGGGCTGCTGGTAGTACAAGGGTTGACATTTTACAGCAGGCTTCTGAAATGTGGGATTTTACAGGTGACATCTTCTTGGTGCGTGGAGGGATGCGTGCAGTGGAGTTCAAAGTAGTGGAGACAGATCCAAGCCCGTACTGCATAGTGGCTCCAGACACAGTGATCCATTGTGAAGGAGAACCCATCAAACGAGAGGTGAGCAGAACCCTACTGTGCAGTTCTACTGAATCCCCTCTGTCCAAAATCTGTTTTGGTGACAGTCCTTAAGAGCAGCAGTGTTTGCAGTTACTGTTTTGGCATTTTGTGTATTGAATATAAGGATTGAAACATCTGGTTTCAGGAGGTGAGCTGCTGCTAAAGGTAGTCAGAGAAATGTGTTTCCACTGTCCTTCCTCAAATGCTGAGGTAGCACCAGTGTGTAGGTTTGCTGATGAGATGTCATACTTTGGCAGCAACTGGTTTTGCATATATTCTTCCATATATCTCATGCTAGATTTTAGATTCATCTTTTAATTCCAAAGTTCCCTTGATCCATAGCAGGGAGGGCTACAATGTTGCTAAATTTCATGCCACGTGAAAAGAGAGCAATTGGTACTTTTTCAGTGAGAAATTTGAAATCTCTAAATGGTTGATTTTAATTTCTTTTATTTTATTTTTTCTTTTCTCCTCCCAGTCACTTAAGGTGTCTAAGCCTTGAGTGTCCTAAGCTTGAGGCAACCTGAGTGGATTGTCTGTCAGGTCTTGGCCACCTTACTGTTACAGAGTAGGAAATCTCAGAGAAATGGGCTAAGGTGGTTCTATGCTTCATAAAGTAAGTGCCTTTTTACCAGCTGCACATCAGGATGAGTCCTAGTTTGTAGTTAGCTCTGCCTTTTGAAAAATTCACCTCTATTTGACACTTGAGGCCATGTCTGGGCACTAGATGAGTCCAGTTTGGGCTCCTCAGGACACAACAGAGACAGATAGGAGCAAGTTCAGCTAAGGTCACCAAAAATGATGTGGAGCTAGAGGTCAGAATGAATGAGGAACAGCTGGGAGGGGGTTGATGCAGCATGGAGAAGGTCAGGCTTACTGGTAACTGACTGATGGGAAGGGGTGGATAATCAGGCTCTCCGAAGAGCTGCACCCAGGGACAGGACTAGAGGCAATGACACAAGCTAGATCAAGGAAAATTCCTAATAGAAAAAGGCTTCTCCAAGCCCCGGAGAAAGGCATATAGAGGGCAGGAATCTGCACACCTGGAGACCTTAAGCACTTGATAGGGCCAGACCCTGAGCAACCTGCTTGAAGTAATAATTCCAGTTTGTGGGGCTTGGGTTGAGCCCCTCTGAGATTCCAGACTGTGTTATTTTATTATTTATTATGGCCTAATATTACAGATAACTAAGATCAGTAGAAATTTGGACAACCAAATGAATGGATGCTATAGAGTTATACTGAAAGATTTGGTTATGGGTGGGCTTATCTGCACAGTGTTTTCTGTTAATTTGAGTCAATCCCAAAAGAAAACACTATGTCGGAGAACTGTATGGTAGCTAGGGTATGTCAGGTAGTTAGAAATGCCACATACAGTTTAAGGAATTAGTATATTTTATACTGGACTTCATTATCTTATTATCTTTGTTAGCCACATCAGAGGGTCACACAATTTGTTTTGTGCTAGAGTCTGTAGGGGCCCTGGCAGCAGAGGCTGTCATTCAAGAGGATGGGCTTCAGTGAGGCATTTCCCTTTGCATGTTTGGGAAGAGAGAGCTAAGAAACAATTGTAGAAGATACCAGGAAGACTTGAAAGTGAGAATCTCAAGACATCAAAGAAATGGCAATGAGCAAAAACCTGGGTTCTGTAGACCAGGAGGGATTGTTGAGTTGTTGTTTTCACTCAGATGTTTAATGTATTTCCTTCTGGGTAGGATGAAGAGGAGTCACTGAATGAAGTGGGCTATGATGACATTGGTGGCTGCCGGAAGCAGCTGGCTCAAATCAAAGAGATGGTGGAACTTCCTCTCCGACACCCTGCTCTCTTCAAGGCCATAGGAGTGAAGGTATGTCCCCATCTGCACCAGGTGGATTAGTGGGCTTGCCCTTGAGGATGACTTGATGTCAGAGGTTCATGAAGTATTGGGAGGGGAATAAGTAATTTGTTTATTTTGGGGGGGAGTTTTTTGGTTTGCTTGTATGGGGTTTTTGGTTTTATTGTTTGTTTGTTTGTTTTAAATGCTGGTGTTAGGAAAGTATTTCCTTACATGCTTTGGACACAGATTAAAGTACTGACAACTTGCAAAGCAGAGGAATGCTTTGAATCAGTGCTGTCAGTTACTGGCAAGGTTTTTGTTTGTCATGCAATGTAGTAAGCATGTTGATAGCAATGCTGGCATGGCAACTGTTACACAAGTTTTGTCCCAGTTTAAATGAGACAAGGGTCTTTTGCTGAGGATGGATTAGGAGGAAAAGACCCAAACTTCTCTTTCCAAGCAATTATAAATCCAAAATTAAGAGGCTTCGATTGAAGGAAAACAAATTATGGAAAAGGGAAAATAACAGCCCTTTATTAAAGGTATGTGTGTATTAACAGGAACACGAAAAAAACCCAAGTAAAATAACTAAGTAATACTCCTATACCCACCAATAATCCCCTTCAAGAACAAAACCGATAAACTGGCAAAAGGAAAATAGTTTAATTTCTTGCACCCTTTGGTGCGGTTCCAACCACAGTCAGCAGGGGGCGCCGTTGGGTCACTGAAGGTGCAAAAACTTGTAGTGTCCTATTGTAGTCACCAGGTGGCGCTGTTGGATCACTGGGGGAGTAGAACTTGTGATGTCCAGTGCCTGTCACCAGGCGGCGCTGTGAGATCCTTGGCTGCCGCCAGGTGGGGGGGGAAGAAGGGGAAGGAAAACAACAGCAATAAAACAGAAAGTTCTCCCAATGGAAGAAAACTCACAAACTTCAGCTGATTAGGGTCCGTTGTAAGCAGGGTCTGCAGCCAGCCACAACTGAGCCAAGAACAGCAGCCAGAACTCCCCTCCGACAGGAAAGAGACAAAGGAACCCGGCAGTGTCTGCAGCCCGCAGCCAGCTCTCCTCCAGGGCAGAGAGAGACTCCCCTCTCCCCCAGCCTCCACCCCTTCCAGTCACACACCAGCCAACCCCCTCCCTTCGTTGTCAAGGAAACAAATCGGCCATTAGTGGGCTCGGCCGATTCTTTTGTTCACACACACACACACACACACACACACACACACACGGCAGGGGGAAGGGGAAGAAAAAAATTCTTTGCTAAAATCAGAACTATGACATGTTTGTATCACAATTTTGGACTGGCTTTATCAAATGCTTACAGATTCACTGTGGAGCTACTTAGGCATTCTGATACTAACTCACCACCTAAGTCCCTTGCCTTTGTCCTCAGCCTCCACGTGGGATCCTGCTGTATGGTCCTCCTGGCACTGGTAAAACACTTATTGCCCGAGCAGTGGCCAACGAAACAGGGGCTTTCTTCTTCCTGATCAATGGTAAGTTTTGTGGCTACTTTGACCCCTGATCTGCTGTGTACTTATTCATCCATCTTATGGTAAAGAATGGTATTAATAGGGCTTGTAAAGCCATGTTGTCTCCCTGACATCCTTCCTTACCTCTTTGAAGTTTGCCTCTGGGAACACTTGGAGGCCATTTGTGTGGAAGTGTCTGTAGTGTCACTTCCCAAAAGCTTGACTGTTTTGTAGCAGGCTCGTTGGAAAGACAGCTTTGCAATACAGGAACCTGGAGTCTGTGTGGTTGAGTGTTCATTTATGTTGGTGAGAGCAGAGCTGGGAGTGGCAAGATTATTCTATGTATATGGGTGCAGGATGCTTGTTTCTGTTGTTGCTAGCATGTTCCATTCAGAAAAGAAGCTGATCAGCTGTGGATTTGGTTTTCCCTCAAGTAAAGCACAAGACCTGTTCTGTTTCACATAACATTAACTGGGTGGAGCTGTCCTGAAAGATATAAGTACCTTGGGACTTAGCTACAAGTAA